TATATATATATATATATACACACACATATTTAAAATAGTTTATGCGATATGTGTAAATCACGGCTTGCTTTTACATCTCGATTATGTTAATTGCTTAATTGTTGAATACCGTATATTGTTCGCGCCGCGCACTTCGCTTACTGTCGTGAGTTCTCGTACTGAGCATTTCTGTTACTTGTGTTGCATCATAGAACGAGAAAGGGTCGCCAAGGCAGTGACACCTACGAGGTGGAGATCTCGTTCCCGGCGATAAAGTAAGGACAGCTCGATTCACACCACGCGCGATTCAATTACATTATATTATACTCGCCATCCGATCCATCATCTCTAATACGTTACCATTCATACACTGTGCAGTTCATCATCATTTCCCATGTTAATCACATTTCAGCGTTTCCTACGATCATAGTGTTTAACTCTCAGATCTGTAGTAAGCATCGAAAATGTCATCGAACAGATCATACTAACTTAGACTAATCTTACAATCAGCAAAACGTTGGATTGTCCTCATAGATTAAAGCGAAAATAAAAACTGCACGTTTTTACTAACTGATCACGACCGATCACCATACATACAGGTGGGACGTCATTGTAGCAAGCTGCAACAGGTGTCCACCTATTTTTCAACGGTTATAACATTGTAACAAAGTCAAAATCTGTAACCAAACTGTCAGATTGCGTATCATTCTTTCGTTGAAGATGAATTTATCATTTAATATGATATTGATTCATAGAATCGAAGATTCAAAAATATGAAATTATAAATTTCACAGCTGAACTTAACGAGCTAGATTTTAAAAATTAAATATTCAATAATTCCGCAATTTCGTAATTTCTAATATACATGTCACTTAGCGTCCAACAGTTTTGGCTTACAGATAACAATTTTCAATGTACATTTGACAATATACGTGATGAATGTGACGAATCGAATAAAATCAGAAATTTACGTGTATTCATTAAAAATTGCTAAGGGGTATTTCATTAAAATTGCTAATGAGTGCGATTTAACCTGCGGTACACGAGTATCTACTGACGAGGATCCTGATCCAAAGACAAGGCTGCCTTAATTACACTTACCTCAAGATAACGGCTGTATATATTTGCGCAAACCCTTCCATGCCTGTTGCTACTTAGCAAGTTTCGATCTACAAAACAATAACTTTTATTTGTTTCGCAGTGATCCTATCCTGAACGCTAATTCGAACGAGCGCTCTACCGTACAAATGTTGCTCGAAAGACTGATCCTGGAAGAAGATCAATTCGACGTTCACGATATTCTGCCTAACACTGTGCCAGATCCCGCATCTCTCATTCTGGAATCCGACTATGCCTGTCCAATTGGCCAAGTTGTCATGGCACCGGATTGTGGTAAGTCAATGTATTCCATAAAGTATCATAGAGAGTTATTTTATATTTCCTATAAAAAAATAAAGATCAATAAGACAAAAGTAAATTATATATATATATATATATATATATATATTATATATAT